TTCTCTAGAAAATCAACAAGCACAATGCCTTGAGCATCCCCCAAAACTATTGCCATGACCTTTATTCTTGACTAGTCTGTTTTGCTTTGACTGGACCATGTTCACTTTTTGGTAGCAATTGCCTTATGATTTTGGCTTCAGGGGAATATTGGTAAAGGCACATTTCATCTTCTGTTATAATTTTTCCAAGAAATGTCTTGATCCCATTTGTTTAAAATCTCCATGGAAAGCTCTGCTCTTGTCTATAGCTGAACTGGGTGTAATAGTTTTGACACTGATTAAGAAAAAAGTTTGCTGAACTATAACTTCTCAGTGAGAATTGTATGAACTGAACCAATTGGGATGACCATGTTGTTGTCTATTGTTTCTTCTGTGAATCACCCAGTTCTCTTCAATTAGGGTACAAGCAAGATTAATTGTTTCATTGCAAATTGATATGGATGACAAGGTGGTGTGGCTGGGTGCCACTGTAGGCTTCATCTTTAACATTGTCTTATCTCTTCTTAAAATGAGTTATCCATAATTTTTTTTTTTTTTGTAAACTATCAATAATGTCACTATTCTTCCACCCAAGCTTCACCATAAGTTTGATACTTGTTCTTGTTTCAATTTTAGCAGAAATTGTGTTTCTTTGATTGGGGGTCTTTTCAAACTCATGTCTTATCCTTCTTGTTGCATTAAATTAGATACTATTCAGACATATACTAAGTTAATACAAGTTTATTTTTGGTGCAAAAATTTTTTTTGAATACCAAACATAGATGCATTTTCCATGAAATTTTGAAGACCCCTTGTATGTATATGTTGTTGTTGAGTGCCATCGATTCGATTCAGACCCATAGTGACCCCGTATAGGATTTCCAAGGAGTAGCTGTCAAGTTTGAACTGCCGACCTTGCAGTTCAAATAGTTTTGCAGTCTGACACATTAAACTACAGCACCACACCAGGACGCCTGTATATATATAGTGGTTATGTGCCATGGAGTCGGTTCTGATTCATAGCAACACTGTACTGGGTCTCCGACCTTGAGGTTAGCAGCCTGATTCATAACCACTACGCTACCAGAGCTCCTTATACATATATATACATAGAAGTAGCAGTCAAGAAATCAAACGACATATTGCATTAGGCAAATCTGCTGCAAAGGACCTATTGTCAGGAGGGACCAGTCGCTGGAGAAGGATATCATGTTTGGTAAGGTGGAGGGTCAGAGAAAAAGAGGAAGACCCTTAATGAGATGGATTGGCCAAGTGGCAGCCTCGATGGACTCAAGCATGGCAACAGTGGTGGGGTTGGCTCAGGATCAGGCGGTGTTTCATTCTTCTGTGAATAGGGTTGCTCTGAGTCAGTACCAACTCTATGGCACCTAACAACAACAACAAAATAGATAAGTGTATATATACACATACACATGTATACACACACACATACATATATATATATATATATTGTTGTAGTTAGTAAGTGCTGTTGAGTTGGTTCTGAATCATAATGATGCTATATAGGGTTTCCAAGGAGGGTCTTGAGAGTTTGCACCAATGACCTTGAGGTTCAAACCAAATTTGCAATGTATATATATTATCTTCCTAAAACAAATTTTTTATTTGTTTTAGGAAGATAAGATATAATATTATCTTCCTAAAACAAATTTCTGTTCATACGGTGCATTTTTCTCCAAAAGTCTGGGGTTTCATTTTGTTTTGTTCTTATGATAGTTTTTGTTACTTTTGCAATTTGCTAAATAAATAAGAGATCAAAGACTTTGTCTAGTGTTTTTTTTTTTTTTTAAAAAAAAAGCCTTTGAAAAGTCAATAAAGCAGAACTAAATATCTTTCTGGTAGTCTCTGGTTTTAGCCAAGATCCATCTGACATCAGCAATGATATCCCTCATTCCGCAACCTCTTCTGAATCCAGCTTGAACCTCTGGAAGTTCTTAGACAATACATAGTTACAGCCATTGTTGTATTATCTTTATAAAAAATTTACTTGCACAGGAAAAATACAAAACAGTAGAGGTAAACGGACTGTTACTACAAGAATAAACAAGTTGCTTGCCCAGGAAACATCAAGGCAAGTGGTCGGGTCCCCTCAATGCAAACCCCCTTCAAGACTAAGACTTAATGGGAATACACGCTCTGATTGGTGGCCATGCTCGTCACCGATAAGGGGAAGTGAGGGAAAAACAGCAATGAAGATGTGAGCTAAGCCCTACAATGTTCATTAGACTTCTGTGAACCCAGGTCAAGACCTGGTCGGCAAGCAGTGTGGGGACTCTTGGGCCCAGAGTCAGTGACAGAGCCACAGAGGACTAGTGTGGAGAGTGAAGTGTTCAGCTGATTAGAAGAGAGGGCATATGCACAAGAACACCCATACTTGCAGATAATACCCACGTGACCTGGCTTCAATGACTGGATAACCAGAGCTCAACCAGAAGAAGAAAGAAGAGGAAAAAAAGAGTAATCTGATACAATTTAATGAACTTGACCTACACCTATGGATGCAGTAACTCAAAAGAGGGAACAAATCCTTACAGTAAGAATCATTCCCACCCCCTCTACACATAGAGTAGACAGGGATGGGCAACCTGGACATTGGCTACCCAAAATGGGGGCAGGGGGGCTACAAAGGCAAGAAGTTACTGGCTTACAAGCTTTCAAGAGGGAACCTAGATCCAGAGGGCCTGGAGGAAGGC